ATAGTATAACATTAGGTATATTTACTAGGTATCAGTATAATATTAGATATATTTACTCGATATCAGTATAACATTAGATATATTTATACGGTATCAGTATTACATTAGATATATTTACTCGGCATCAGTATAACATTAGATATATTTACTCGGCATCAGTATAACATTAGATATATTTGCTCGGTATCAGTATAACATTAGATATATTTACTCGGTATCAGTATAACATTTAATGTATGTATTACACTAAACGGTATCAGTATTACTTTAAGTATATTGACATTAAACTTATCTATTTATACATTTAAATATATTAACAAGATCACATCGTTACGTTAACTGTTTTTAAATTGTAACATTATAATATCATACTAAACTGTAATATATAAACATCATAACGTAAAACACATTTAAATCATTTAGTTCAATACATTACCATGGTTATACCATAAAAGTAACTGTGTTTATATGGTAACATTAGTATGTTAAATATAAAACATGAAAACACGACACGTGATATATAAACACTGAACGTCAACATGTTGATGACTACTGATGACATCAGTACTATGACCAATTGTGATACAGAATAATATTTATGAAATTCAAAAAAGTATTTTAACAAATAAATTACTTACGGGTTCAAAAAAAACAACGACGACTTCCCTATAGATATATGGTTATATGATTTTCATGTTTGTAGACACCGACATATTCCTACGCGTACCTGTACGTGGACTCCCCTGTGAATGGTATTGGCGGTTATGCGACTCTTCTCTCTAGTGTAACATTCGAACGTAAGTATGCCTACCGAATTGAAGGAAATTACCTATCACTGTTGTTTATAAACGGTTACAATGAGTGTGCGATAAAATGAGGATATTTAAATAATTTAAAAGTTATTATGCAATTTTAAGTATATTACTGACTCATTGTCTGTATATTGCATCCGAAAAAATTGATAACGATATTCGATCTGTTTATTAGTTATATTTTTCGAAAGTTTTAATATATAGAAAAAGAACTGGATTGGGTCGATCGCCGGCGACCAGGTAACTCAATTGTTAGAGCGTCCGTCTAGAGTTCGGAGGGTCCCTGGTTCGAATCCCGGTCTGACCTTGCATTTATTTTCTCCTGTTAAACATATTATTTGTAGCACATAACGACCTTCAAATATGTTCCATAATTTCTGATCAAATTATGTTGTTGCTGATAATTTATTATAGAATTATCAGGAATCCTCATTGAAATGTTGTCTTATTTCTACTAGCTGCCTACCGCTGCCTCAGCTTTTATGTAGCCATTAGGAAGGGCTCGTATGACGGGTTGACTACATATATACAGGTCTCGTACACGTCAAACACCCACACTGACCCACAAGTAGTATATGCAACAGACGACACCGCGTCAAAATGGCGTCTACAGAAAGCCACGTTGCCTGATGAAGACGATGTAAAGGTACATTTTAATTGTTTATCAAACGAGATAAGTCCATGTTACAAAGCTGTGCGATCAAATGTGGCACATTAACAAATCAAGAAAAAAGATAATCCAATGATTACTATCAAGAATTCGTCCCCGCAAAATTTGTCATTGATACAGCTGTGCATCCCCAAAAAAGGCTTAAGGGGGTAAACTGAAACCAATTTTCAGTTGCGCATGACTGTCAGTTTGAGGAAGCATTGTATTGAGTTCCGGGCCAAGATTTTTTTTTCATTTTCAGATACAGTCATCAAATTTCAAAAGATGACTAATCAAATAATATGAATTGATTATACCTTAACAGGGAGTACACATTTTGATGATCCCTGACATGTTGTGTTATTGCCTTACTGAGCTACAGTTGTTACTCTATAGGAAAAAACAGTGCAGTTGGAGAGGGATCCTTAATTGAATTTTGAGTGCTGATGTCATATTAGATTCTATTTAAATTTGTCTTCGCAGATACAAATGACAGTCGAAAATCCGGCCTACTATGGAATTGTTGCTCTCAATAATATCTTGATCATCCCCGGCGCGTGCTGTAAGTAACCTGATGATGATTAGCTCATGGTCGCAATTCCATTTCTAATTGGAAGTTAAACATACTATGATATCATTATAGTTGGACAGTTCGTGTCTTTTGGTAAAAGGTAGACGATAACCTGAAAAATATTGTAAAATGTCTTTTGGAAACGAAATGGGTATGCTGCAGAGACAAACGTAAAACTTTGATGGCTAGGGGCGTCATAACAAGTAATGATTCGCTGTTATCAGCTCAGAAAAACGATATAATATCGGAAAAGTTAAAAAAACATTTAAAACCACAATTTCATTTTTCAATATTAGTTGATACAGCTGTTTGATCATATAATTTATCAAAATAAAAACTATATTTACTTTTATTTAATCATAGTTTAAGGCGACATACAAGAACAACAAACACTTTTTCAAAACAGAATATTCTCGCTCCCTACCTCTCAGCCAACTATAAAATATGTGTTTAGTCGTGACCTTGAACACTAAGAGGAACAGTTTCTAAATGATGATATGCAGGAACTATCATATATGCATTTGAATTCACTGATTAATCCGACCATCCTTCCTTACGATCCTGTCCTCGAAGCCAACGAACATTCAACCTTATGTTTTCCATACGTACCTCTCAGTTCCCGCCTGCACGACACGTATCCTTTGTTCGACTGTACACAAGTTCAAGTTCAAGTTCAATTTGTTTATTTAAGTGTCACATATCACAATTACATTTATGTTCATTAATACATATAAAATACTTGCACAAAATATAAATCAATTCCATTGGTACATATAAAATACTCGCAGTTGGCTGTTTCCTAGAACTTAAAATAGTTTGTTTAACATAAAAAAAAACCAAAAAAAAAACCCACTTGTAATAGGGATCAATATCGACATTAGATTATTGTGAGACTACCCTTCTTCTTATTATTAACATGTAGGTTGCAGTGACTCAAAGTGCGCTACCTTAGGGTTGGGGAGAGCCCTACCAGCGAAGACAGGTCGCTCTGCGCCACTGCAATCATTCGATGTAACTTTAAATATAAAATATATTTTTTATCAGTTTAAAAAAAGGAATAACAGGTTAAAAGTAATTGAGAAATCGATTGACTCCAAGCGGTTGGGGAGAGCTCTACCGGCGAGGGCTTCTCGAGGTCCCTTCTTAAGGTTACATTTAATAGTTTAAAACACGGTTAAAAGGGCAAAATTTTAGTATTGATCAATAATTAACAAATAAAATAATATTTCAAGGTCTATGACCTATGGTTATAACAGGTTAAAAGGAAATTGAGAAAACGATTAGCTTCAAGCGGTTGGGCCAGTCCCTACCAGCGAGGGCTTTTCGAAGTCCCATCTCAAAGGTACATTTACAACTTTAAAACACGATAGAGAAAAATAAACTTTAAACATTGATCAATGGCTTTAATATATTTAAGAATATTTCAAAGTTAAAGGGAGCTTACCCACTTATAAACCAAACCCCTGCATTGATCCCTGGTAAAAAAAANTACCAGTTTCAACTGCTAGGGGTAGCGAGCCGCATCTAAAATTAAATAGCACCCTTCGTTTGCTTTTCTGGCGAACCAGTTTGACAAATGAGCTAGGTCTTAGCTCTGATTTAAACGTTCTGTAAGTTCTTAATTTATTACCATTTGCATTTAAGCTATCATTCCACACCGATTTGTACCATTCGTCAGCATCTAGAATATTTAACGTCCTACATTAGTCCCACGTTAACGTTATTTACAAATCAGCAGTCGTGTAGCATGTTGTCCAAAAAGACAAATTGATTGATATTTTAATAACCTCACCTTTTTTGCTACGTCTGTCGACATGATGTTTTGTTAACATATTGACATTATCTAAGAATATTTTGTCGACACAGTTTAAAATAAGTTGACGTATTCCGTCTTTTCGTATTGCAGAGTTATCTGCTCTTGTGAGCAGGTATTGATTGTTACGTCATTTGTTTGTGACAAACCAAGGACGTAACAATCAATACCTGCTCACAAGACCAGTTAACTCTGCAAAACGCAAAGACGGGATAACCGTATAATATTTCTACTCTTTTTCTATTTTGCATGAATAAATGGTATGCCAATGTCTAGTGTGAGCATTAATAGGATAAAAGGCCGAAAGACCAATTAATGTGAAAATTTTCACGGAAAATATGATAATATATCAACATAATTAAGGCATGATTGTGACATAATCCTTCTCAGATTAAAGAGATCTCCTTTCAACACCATTTTGAAAAGTCGAAAGCAGAAACCTTGGTTTCAATATAATAATACCATCTATAACTTTTAATAAAAATCGTTATTTTTCGAGTAAGATATTAACTTAATCCAAAGCGAATATCTGTATTGATAATGAAAATATAAATTAATATATTTATTTTTGTATATTCCTATTTGATTTTCTTTTTAAGCATTCGTAGGGATATATCAATTTAGACTTAATCTGCAAGGAAAAAAATATTGTTCAAAAACAATCTACATTAACAATATTTCAGTTAATTCGTTTGTCAACATTTGAATACCTGATGCTCGTACGGTTAGGTTTCTTTTTCTTGTTTCAACAAAGACATGTAAATATGTATAATGTAAAAAAGATAAAAAAAAATCCATGTGAAGTAGGTTAGTATAGAAAAACTAAGATCTAACGACTAACTAAAACATTAGCTGATTTCAATTTCACATGGCTCTTCAGATTTATTTCAAAAGGTCCTGTTAGTCAATCGTTAGAATTTGTTTTCTATACATGTGTATATAGAAAACATTGAGAAGTCTTTGTGTTGGAATTAAATATAAAAAATAGAATATATAATACCTATTCACGCCAATTTTAATCGTTCACAGATGTATGCGATTCATCGCCTTGTTTAAACGGAGGTACCTGTTCAGAGTCCGAAGTAAATGACAAAGAATTTGAATGCTCGTGTCCATTAGGATATCTAGGCCTAATGTGCGAAACATGTAAGTTATTTGTTTCATTTTCCATTATTATTATATCACAGTGAAGCAGAAATAGCATTTATAATTCAATTGGTTTTAGCTGACCTGGCCAGAGTGTATGCCATGGTCAAACGGCCTTGTGAAAGATACCGAGCAAAATCATTTTTAAGTTCTCTAGTTCCTTTATCCGATTCCGACCAGAATAGGTGCAAATTTTATAAAACATGTTGAATTGCAACTCAAAATAGTTGGCTTAGCCTCTGGGTGATATTTTCGACTTCTTAATATCTATCGGGCTAATTTTTACAATTTTTTGAATAAATGTAAATGTTTTCTCCCGGTGGAAATATCTTTCAAATGTTGATAAAGTATTGTATCAACCTGAACGGTGGTTAATCAATGTTTGACTCGATGACGCTCAACCTACAAGATTTCATACGAAAGACTCTTGATTTAAATGTGAGATTACTGATACTATTTCGACCTAAAGAAATAGGCAATCTTTATAATTTAATCAATTTATGCACATTCTGTTGGGTAAAGCCTATGGAAAATATTACAATTTAAAGAAAGATTTGTTTATGCTCAAAATATTATTTTATAAAATTGGATAAATTTCCAATGCTATTACAATTGTATGTGTACTTAATCATTTATATAATAATGTTCAGCTGTTCAGGTCTAGGTCAATCGGATTGCAGGAATTTTGCGAGTCCTGTATAGTATTGTAACAACGTGATCAGTCGATGTATGTATTATATTTACCAGCTGTATGTGATTCCTCGCCTTGTGAAAATGGAGGGGAGTGTGAAGTGACGTCAGAAAATGCCGACCAATACAAATGCAACTGTGAACTAGGCTATGTTGGACACACCTGTGAACAGTGTAAGAGTTGTCGTCCTTTCTTTTCTTACTGTCTGTTTATTTTAGTTTTCAAACAAACAAACAAAATCTCAACATTTTTGTCTTTATTAGTACTTAAATGTGTCCCTTCATTGCTTTTATTTATATAGGTCTTGACATTTTATATTTTATATGATATATTTTCCATGATATTTCTTAACCAAACTAACCAAACACAGGATAGAGAAAAACAGATATCAGATTGTAATGTAAAGCATCTCAGTTGAACAATCATCACCATTCATTACATTTGCTATTTTTGCGGTGAACTCTATTAATTTAAAAATCATTTTAGCTTTTTATGGGGTTTTTTTTTTTGATGTTAATGAGGCAAATGTAATGTTTTATTAAATAAGAGTCCAGGACATCCTATGGTCCAATACAAGCTACAACCGATTAATCGCCCTTTCATCTGACTAGATTTGTATTTGTACGCTTTCTGTGATAAAAACACAAACAGATATATAAATGACAATAAAGCGTCAATGAAAACAGAAAATCATCAGGGACATGTTTTATAGGGTAACAATAAGTCAATCTATATTACTACCGGTGTCCTATTGTGAAATAGTTGTGTAAGTCCTTTCAAAAAGAATATTCCATAAAAATCACATTGCTTTGAGATAGTTCAATGTTTAAAATGAATAAACAACGAAAACATGAAAACTTTAGGAGTCAAACTCGGTGTTTTTATATTGCAAAGTCTACACTTCACAAATGTTGTTATGCAAGGATGATTATAAAAAAAATGCATCAAAAGGAGAGCCCAGAATATCTTTAAATATGTGTGATGGGCGGATCAGGGACTGTATATAGAGCATTATACGTCCTCCAACACATTTTTGCCCGGGTTCGGTGAGCACCTCAATTATTTATCTCTAGCACTAAAAATGTCGACAACGATCTATAAAAAAGATTAACAGCTCCTGCAACAGGGGTTATTTTGTCGTCGGTCGAGATGATTTTTAGTATGTGTCGATTACTATTACTATAACATGTTTTCTAGTTTCTTAAGTTTTAAATAGCTTAGACTACCGAAACATATTGATGCACAATCAACATTTACTAAATGTTTCCATATCTTATGTTACTAAACAAGAGTATGGATGACATCACGTTCGGCCACGTACCAAGCAACCTCCTTGTGAGAATGGTTGACGAGATATACACTTGTAAAATATCTTTCTGTAAAGGTATTTATGGCTGTTGATGACATTTTTTATCGACGCAGTGGCAGACATGAATATAAATTATTTCCGTACGTGAATTGAATGTATGTGGTCATACTCTGTTATACAGGAGAAAATTATTACATGAGAAGCACACCATACCAGACGTGTTAAGTTTTCGAAGAAACCTTAAAGAGGACTTTCTGACTATTTTCGTCAAATCAAAAAATAAAGGAGTGGGTTATATAGTTGACTACCAATACGTGGTTCACAAAGTGAAAAAAGTGACAGGGGAATAAACTCTAAGCCAGGAAAAATACTTTGGTTGCTTAAATTTCTATATAGAAGGGAGAATACTCCAAGTCAAGAAACTTTTAGTGGAACTCTTCTTCGTGAGTGGAACTCTTCTTAGAGAGTGGAACTCTTTTCGCGGTTATAACTGATGCAATGGTACCTTCCATCACCTCTTCATAACATATCTATAAATCGCTTATTTTCGTGTTCTCTTGATAGTTATCACCAGTGATTATTGATACATATTTCCTGTCCCTTCTTATCGACCTTAAGTTATAATTTATTTCTTGTTGATGTTTTGCATAGTTATTATCTATTTTCCTTTGAATAGACGTTTGTGATCCATCTCCTTGCCAAAACGGAGGTGAATGTGTCGTGACGGATGCCAATCCCAGTCAATACGAGTGCAGATGTACATTTGGCTATTACGGCTTTCACTGTGAACAATGTAGGTTATTGTTTGGTTTTATAAATCTAGATTAATGTCACTATAAGGAAACAATGTTACATTCAATTTGTTATGTTAAACATGTCAATATTTAAAACCAATCTGTCAAATCTTAATTATATGTACCTGAAATGTTACACAAATAATTGTTAACTTATGAACTTATAATTACAGAGCTGTGATATTATCAGCAATGGATTTGCAAAAATAATCATAATTGTTTTTGTGTTAACACTGTTTAAGATTCCAACTTTGATGGCCTGTGTCTTCAATACATATTATCAGTTTACTATAAGTAGCACGGAAGGTAGAATGATGTATGGTGCGTACAAGTGAGAAATAGTAAATATTATCTGTTTACTAGTGAATATTATCAGTTTACTAGTGAATATTATTAGTTTACTAGTGAATATTATCAGTTTATTATCAGTAGTACGGAAGGTAGAATGATGTATGGAACGTACAATTGAGAAATAGTGAATATTATCAGTTTACTAGTGAATATTATCAGTTTACTAATGAATATTATCAGTTTATTATCAGTAGTACGGAAGGTAGAATGATGTATGGTACGTACAAGTGAGAAATAGTAAATATTATCAATTTACTAGTGAATATTATCAGTTTACTAGTGAATATTGTCAGTTTATTATCAGTAGTACGGAAGGTAGAATGATGTATGGAACGTACAAGTGAGAAATAGTGAATATTATCAGTTTACTAGTGAATATTATCAGTTTACTAATGAATATTATCAGTTTACTATAAGAAGCACTGAAGGTAGAATGATGTATAGAAAATTATATATAAAAAAAAAAATGATGTGTAGACCTTACAAGAGAGAAATAGTGACACGCCAGCAGGTACGTGGTAAACCTTTATCACACCCACTACAACTCCAATCGTTCACCTCGCGCTAATGAATTACTAATCTTGTAAACATATGTTTTTGGGAAAAGGTGCTACTCTGTGTACGACGTCATCAAAATATTTTCTCACTTTGATTCGGTCTATCACTCGATAGACTTTAAACACAAATCAATGAAAAGGCGTGTTACAAACAATATTAAGTAATTTAATATTTGGACAAGTATAATATTTAGTTATTCTGTTAAACATTTCAGATATTTGTGATCCAAATCCATGCCAGCGTGGAGGAACATGTAGTCCGTTTGAAGACACTTATCAATGTGATTGCCTGTATGGTACCGGGGGTAAAGACTGTTCTGTTGGTAAGTTTAACACGTGTTTCTATTAGTGTTTCTTAACAAATTTTATAGTTGTAAACTAGTGATTTTAAACTGATGGTAGGGACTCAAGTCAAATTCAGTATATTGGATGTAAGCGGTTTCAAGTCAACTCAAAACATTTAACTTGATCAAAAAATAATTCTGCCAATAACATAATTAAGATACCTTGCTATTCCATCCATTTCTGTCACTAATCGATTTTTTTTGATTTTTTTTTGTTAAATGCAGGCTTTATTTCACCATTTTGATACGTTATTTTGTAGATTTAACGACCCTTTGTTCCTTCGAAGATAATTCTTGCGACTTCCAAAATTCCGTTCAGGATTCTTGTAACTGGAAAACCAGAGTGGTAAGATGCATGTATCACGTGTTGTCAAATAATCTTAAATGTAGCAAGGTATAGGCACATTACTCTGTAATCAGGGAAGTACATAGGTAAAGCAGAAATATAAAAACATGACGTCACATCTTATGTATGTATTCACTACTGCAGTATGCCGTTCGTTAACAAGGGGTTACAACATTGTTCTGTGTATCGTATAAAGTTGTAACATGCATGTGATTGCATCTTTATTGTGAACTCCGATGAATCATATAACAATGAGTATTTATCGAAACTCTGGAGTTAAAACAGTGTAAATCAGCTTCACAAATACTTAATACATTACTACATGATATGCACCTAGTTTATTTATATATACATACATTTTTTAAATATCAAGAGATGAGATATGCATATTTTTTTACTCCTTTTCCTTAATTGGTTTTTGCAACTGCGTAAAAGAAGTAATAGGAAACTCAAGTCTTTAACGTAATTTGCAGAACCTATGATAAACCTGTTAAGGGTAAGTAATAAATGTGCTCCTCACATTGGTAAGGTAGTCAGGTTTCTACCACTTAAGTTATAAATGTGCTCCTCACATTGATAAGGTAGTCAGGTTTCTACCATTTAAGTTATAAATGTGCTCCTCACATTGGTAAGGGAGTCAGGTTTCTACCACTTAAGTTATAAATGTGATCCTCACATTGGTAAGGTAGTCAGGTTTACACCACTTAAGTTATAAATATGCTCCTCACATTGGTAAGGTAGTCAGGTTTACACCACTTAAGTTATAAATATGCTCCTCACATTGGTAAGGTAGTCAGGTTTACACCACTTAAGTTATAAATATGCTCCTCACATTGGTAAGGTAGTCAGGTTTCTAACACTTAAGTTATAAATGTGCTCCTCACATTGGGAAGGTAGTCAGGTTTCTACCACTTAAGTTATAAATGTGCTCCTTTCATTGGTAAGGTAGTCAGGTTTATACCACTTAAGTGATAAATGTGCTCCTCACATTGGTAAGGTAGTAAGGTTTCTACCACTTAAGTTATAAATGTGCTCCTTTCATTGGTAAGGTAGTCAGGTTTCTACCACTTACGTTATAAATGTGCTCCTCACATTGGTAAGGAAGTCAGGTTTCTACCACTTAAGTTATAAATGTGATCCTCACATTGGTAAGGTAGTCAGGTTTATACCACTTAAGTTATAAATGTGCTCCTTTCATTGGTAAGGTAGTCAGGTTTCTACCATTTAAGTTATAAATGTGCTCCTCACATTGATAAGGTAGTCAGGTTTCTACCATTTAAGTTATAAATGTGCTCCTCACATTGGGAAGGTAGTCAGGTTTCTACCACTTAAGTTATAAATGTGCTCCTCACATTGGTAAGGTAGTCAGGTTTATACCACTTAAGTTATAAATATGCTCCTCACATTGGTAAGGTAGTCAGGTTTCTATCACTTTTTGTGTTCATCAAATTCCACGTATGCATTGGGTTAATAACTTCCGTCACTTCAAACGATCAAAAGTCTATGGACTGTTTGAACTTTGGCGCGTTTGCCTTCGTACTTAACCATTACGGATATATATCCGCGATGAAGTACCCTAGTAAGAGCGGCCGACTTTACGAATAATCAGCTTGGATGAAAATAGAAGAATTTTATTTTAATATACTTTTGGAGTATAAACATGGCTGTGTCATTTCTGCATATTGAATTCCTGAGACGCCTAACGCGTTGTTGGTTCAGCAAGGATATGGACCAATCGGGGTCAACAAGATCTCAACCATGTTTATCAAACTCTTCTTAGTTTAAACTTTCTTTTATTCAAGTATTTCAATTATATACATATATATGCAATATATATATATATATANTATCATTTTGTAACAAAACACAAAATAGGAAATAGAAACAAGTGTCTTAGAAACTTATGTAAATCTATCACCTTATCATAATCTGCAAAATATATTCAGGATGAACAGAATATTGTCTCGAATGAAAAATACATACAATTATACAATCGGTGACAATAGTTTAAACAAGGAGAAAGAAAATGAGATAATTAATTCTTAGTTTATTGAAGATCATCAAAAGTAATATGGTTATAAATTAAACTCTACTCATTCATAGAATGGTTCTTGTAACAGAGAATTTATCTCGTAAATTATCTCTATCATTGCCTAGGGACCTCCACCAACCCTATACACTGGGCCAAAGTATGCGTTCTCGGGGCAGACCTACCTCTACGTGGACTCCAGCGAAAATAAAGGGAAAATGTGTCGGTTCGAACTGACAAAAAAATTTGACGGTAAGTATGTAGATACAAATTGATATATTTTTGTTGAAATTGTGAGTGTTAAGAACTAGTTGAATTATGTCTAAAACATTTTGTATCGTATATTCTTACCACGAAAACAATGAAATCATTATGTTCTTATATTTATCATAGAGTAGAAAGAGACCCTTTCCTCTGAACACATTGGGCTTGATAAGTTCTCTCGTTTATTATACAGTGAAAATGTATCTTGAAACACAGATCAATATGTGTGTTCCACTAATTACTCACTTCATATGCTTAACTATGAAAACCGTACGTTCTGTTTGTTTTTTTTATAACTTTGTCTGTAAAAAACGCGATAATGATAGATTATCACAATGTATTTTCAGTGTTTATCGTTCGAACAATTTTCTCATCGCTTGCGCGTAGATAAAATCTCGAGTCCACCGCAATACTTTATGATAAACTATTTATCATCTATATACTATACACTACCTTATATATTTCTCCATTCAAAAAACTCCGTTCCGCGCAAAATTTCTTGTTGTTAACGTTTGTCACAGGTGATCGTCGACCATTGAGCTTAGAAGTTATTTAGAAAACAGGGTGTTTAGTTGAGTTTTTTTAATGGAGAAATATATAAGGTAGTAGTATGTAGATGATCAATAGTTAATCATACAGTATTTTCAGTGTTTGTCGTTCGAACAATTGTAGTCACGACAAACACTGAAAATACAGTGTGAGAATCTATCATTCTCTGAATTAAACTGATTTTTCCAGATACAACGCCGTTTCTTTCCTATATTTTTCACTATTTTTTCCGATTCTTATTTTGTAGAAATCATATAACCCATACAACCTTTGCACAGAAATTCCTCTTCTAAAGATACATTTATAATAAACCATGACAAGATTGCTTTAAAAGAACTATTCCCTAGGGAGCTACTCATACTATCTTTATTTTATTTTATTTTTTAACATAATTGACAACCTTATCTACAACTAACCTTGTGTTCCGTTTTCAGACCGCGACCGTTGTATCATCCTGTTCTATCTTATGAGTGGGAGGTTTGTCGATTCCCTCCGTGTGAATATGGAAGTGAATAACAAAAGTACTAACTTATGGTCAGCCTCCGGCAACAAGGGAAAGACGTGGAAACATAAAATGATCGACATCAGTACTAGTTCAGCTTCATATACAGCCGTAAGTGATGTCTTTTTGTTGAGTACGTTACCAGTCAGAATTGAGACAACCTTGCTGTTAGCTTTGCAACATATACCTGTTTCATCTACTTCTGTTATTTATTGATTACTGGCAGTAAGTTCGTCCATTAACACAGTTATCATGGCGCTCGGTGAATGAAATTTCGAAGTTTTGTTCTATGTTATTTCATACACAATGTTAACTTAACAGTTATCTACTTGAAATATATTTATATATATAAAGATATACAGGGATTTACGCAAACATTGATATGTATTTAAATGAGGTCACTGTCCATGCCAGGTATGCCGATGCCTCGATGCATTTTCAATTATGAGATCACAGTTACTCTTTTATATTACGGACACTCATTCGTATTTATGAATTAATGATATGCATATGCTGTGAGTATGCAAACGTTCTCTCAATCTGATTGGTTGATGCCTTCCAGAGAAAATAGTTTCATATTAAAAGTTATGAGCACATTACATTAGGGGAGTTAATTTTCTTGTTATATTATTTTACTACTACTTTACAAATAGTAAATAGTACTTCCAAAATATAACTAGTCACGTGCCAGTTTTTCAGATCTATATTACACTTAAACAGTAAGACCATGTTACATTATAAGTTCACATGGCAAGAAATTGCCTATGATCTAATGCAGTAGTGTGGGTCACTGTGGTAAAACATGTTTAAAAAGTCACGATGTCTAAACCCCTGATACATTTTATCATTTTCAAACGACATTTACTTTCCAGTTTTTAGGTAAAGGATTACTGCTAGAGATGGGGCTCTGGGTTCAGTTAACTTTACAAATATTTCTCTTCATACAAGAGGGCTTTCATTCGTCATTCTTACACACATACATACATGCATACATACATGTTGTTAATTGTTATTGAGACATCTCCAATCAAAGATGAAACAAAGAACATTTATCTAATACTATGTTAAACACATTAAAAAAACATAATATACTTCAACATCTGGGAAGGAGAGCTATATGTTTTATGTTTAATGTCTGATGCAGTGCATTCTCTCATCCACGTGCATATGAAAAATTGCATGCAGATTTTTTTTTTTATATAATTTTATTCATGTTCTATTCTCTAATATTCCTCTTAATTTATCCCACATTTTCTTGTTTTCCCTTAAAACGGGTAGCCATCAATACAGGAGATAGTTTCGTTTTTAAAAATCCTATACACATCTACTTGTTTTGTGTTTTGCTCACTTATGTAATAGCATTTGTATATACTGTAACCAAGTAATGTCATTATATAGTTAATGAAAAAGTACCCTTTTGCATATGGCTTATACCCCTTGATTGACGACTTCAATGTTATAACATTCTTGTTAGCGAAACGTAGGTCCATAATCAGATTTGATTTTTTTTGTCCAGAAACTCTTGACACCATTGCACGAAATGAAGTAGTGCTCATGATTTTCATCAACATTACAGTAGTTACACTTAGCTGTAGCTACTAGTTTCCAGTTAAATAGTAAAGTTTTACATGGTAAAATTATATGGATGAGTTTCCATCCAAATTCTTTTAATTTGTTTTCTTTGATATTTGAGATGAACAGAAGTGCATTATTTATTTCATCATTCTTAGCTCCAACATCATTTCAAATGTAAATGTCGACACAAGAATCATGTGTATGAACTGACCAGGATCAGCATAGACTGATATTTTTGGGGGGGGGGGAGCTTTGAAATCTTCTTTTTTAAGAACCAAAAGGCCGAAGGTCGTGAAGTGTAAACGAATGTCGGTTCGATTTCCTGTAATGTCAAATGTGTTCATGCATAATGTTGATCATATCAGGTACAAGTAGATGCAACGACAAGACGCCTCTCGATGGGAGATATCGCCATCGACAACATCCAAATAAAGCCGTATTCTTGCTGTAAGTGTTGTCTACCAGAGAAACCAATGATGGAAAGTCGGTAACAATAGTGTTCCAGCTAAACATTAAAACCAAAACTCATAGTAAAATAAGTTCAATAGTATAACATAGGTTACGGCACTTATTGGTGTACATTAAAGAACTAAATACACTCTTATTTATTTGCAATATTATACACTTCTACTGACATATCAATATTTTCATGTAATTGAAATCTTTTTGAATGTTATTTGTTTTATAGTATGTGTATTCCGTCTTTGCGTATTGCAGAGGTATCTTCTCTTGGGAGTAAGTATTGATTGGTACGTCACTTGTTTGTGAGAGTAACGTCATCAATTTTTGAGAAAACGACGTAATTTTCTCGCACAAACAAATGACGTAACAATCAATACCTGCTCCCAAGAAAAGATAACTCTGCAATACGCAAAGACGGAATACTCATACCGACGAAATAGAAAGCACAGTCCTCCCAAGAGTAAGGTATTAATATCGTGCATATGTCACTCTAAATTAATCAACATGTTGCATGGTAATTCATCCAGGAATTATAGACCTATGCACGCATTCAGTAGGAACTAATTGTAAAACAATTGTATAAATCACCTTTGGTAATGATCTTAGGTATTTATAAGCTATGAGTATTCTAAGTATATAATTAGATACTTATATTCTTACCCTTTTGGAACACTTCTCGTACTCTTCCTGCATATTTTTCAACAGTCTGTTAAAATAAAATATGTTCGTATTGTCCCCTAGTTTGATCGATATAGAGTACAAAATAAGAATTGGTTGATACTTCCGATTTTGTTTGTTTGTGATATGATTTTTATCCAAATTTGTATAGTTCCTCTGACTGCCACCTATATAAAATCATAAAACATCCAGTCAATGTTATTTACATATTTGCAACTTATGCATATGATTTCCTCTGGCTCGATTGTGAAGTGACCCCTTTTGGTATCATGAATGTATTTATTCGGTTTAATGTGAAAATTTGGTTTGATCCTTCGAGGAACTTCTAATCAAACATGGCGAAGCCGAAGCCGAGGGAAACAGCCTGAGATGTCACACAAAGCAACATTAATAATGTTTATATACCAATTAATTAAATTTAGAAAAGTATCTGCAGAATATACAGTAATGTAATACGTGTTTAATTGTTATCTCAGACTTTTTTCTGATATGAAATTCTCTACTTACCGTTAGTGGCTTTCTACCATTATTTAAAATAATAAGCTTTCAATAGATTCCAACTCCATGTGTGTACACTTCATTTATCCGTTGTGGAAGGTCGGGTGGCGCAGTGGATAGCACACTCGCCTTTCACCGAGACAGCAGGTGTTCAATTCCCCTATTGGACGTGAAAAATAAAAGGTCACCTATCTCATTGGGTTTTCTTCGGGTACTCCGGTTTCCTCTCGCATTAAGACCCCCAGTGCGCTGTCATGTGGGCTAACGAGACTAATTCATATAAGTTGCAATATTTTGTTTCATATCTGTTTAAAAAACGTTTTAAACGTTTAACCAATGGTGATATTATGAACAATGAATAATCGAAATCTATTTATAAGAAATATTGCCATAACTAAACTAAGCATGAATCTTAAAAAAACGTTTCACTATTTCGCATGTTATAAATGATTTGTCTCTTTTTCTATTGCAGCTAAAATTGTATTATGTACTTTTGAAGAAGGTTTAACCACTTTTGCAACAACTTCATGTGTAAAGTTAAATCCAGACGTTAACTATTACAGTAACTGGAGGACACGACAGGTAATAATCA